TTTGATTAATAAACTGATGATCTAGCCTGGCTACAGGTACTCAAAAAAAAAAAATAATATAAATAACATATTATTTATTATATTATAGTTTGTATTATTCATAATTTATAAATATAACCTCAATTAAAAAAATTTTATATATAAGTTTATCAATTTTTTTACTTTATTGTTGATGAATCTTTAATAAATAATTTAATAAATTATTAATGAATTTTTAATAATAATTTTGATTAATAGTTGATGAATAGTTGATGAATAGTTGATGAATGGTTAATGAATAGTTGACAAATAGTTGACAAATGGTTGATGAATAGTTGATAAATGGTTAACAAATGGTTAACAAATAGTTAATGAATTTTTGATGAATAGTTACAAATATATTGATGAATAGTTGACGAATAGTGAACAAATAGTTAACAAATTTTTTAATAAATAGTTTTGATGAATAGTTGACAAATAGTTGACAAATTGTTAATATGTCAATTTTTATAGTTGCCAATTTATTTGTCATTTTTTTGCCAAATTGTTTATTTTTTGCTAAATATTATACAAGTGGCAATATGTTGAATAATTTTTTTTTGACTAGTGTAAGAAGAGTATAATATTGTTTTCAAAATCTGACTTAGAGTACTGAGTTAATCACTTTGTGAAAGTTTGTAACCTATTTTAGATTTTGTTTTAATTTCTTAATAAAGACACATCATAAAATAATAATAATAATAATAATAATATTTATTTTAATAATTAATAAAAAATTTTGGTTTTTTTTTTATATAAGAAACAATATAATCTTTTAAATATAATTAATTATATAAACTTTTGTAATAGATTTTTAATATAACGATAAATCATACACGTGTTATTCTCGAACAACCAATTATTTTCGAAATAAGGTCAATCCCATTTCTGTCAACCAAAGACAAATCTTTGCAAACCACTTGGCCTTCGTTGAATAAATAACTTTAATGACAGGTAACTTGGAGATAATTCTTTGTTGGAAAGTCAATTCTTAATAAGTATATTGTTACTAGAATTATCGAAGATCGAGAATGAATTAGATCCAAAGACACCATTTAATATAAATGTCCAAAGAGAATTCTTGACATCTAATTTATAAACTAATCGAACACTACGTGTTTTCGATATTTTAGCAAAAATGAACAGTTTCGAAGGCTTAGCCAGTAAAATAGAAAAGGCAGTGAGTGTATGTCTGGCCGATTCTGAAGAGCCAATAGACAGCAGGCTAAGAAGAACGCTAGTGCCGCTTGCTTCTAGTCAATCAAAAGAAGTCTTCACTTTAAGAAAGGCAACTCTTGAATACGTATTCAAGAAAATTGGGCTAAGGATATCAGTAAGAAATTGAGTGGCCTTCGAAGATTCTTCAATTTGCACTGCCTTTTACTCACAATTGAATCAAATTTTATACTATAATCAGAATCTTCCATCAAACGAATTGTTGCCACAAGCGTTTAAACTTTTGAACATGATATTAGATCTTATCGATATATTGGGAGAGAACAAGAATGAAAAAGGCATTACCATCTTTTAAGAGCTCGATTTGATTTAAATTATGCAAGGAAGCCATTCTTATTTTAAGTTTTTTAGAATTATGTGAACAATCTTTGTCCTTAACTATTCTGGAAGAAATAATGGAGACACAGTCCCTAGATGTTTGTGAACACTTGTTTATATACTTGGAACAGAACAAGCAAAGGCTACTGGTGGTAACGTTACTTGTGAACAAACATTTTGATAACCGTTTGCGTTAGGATTTCTTTATATTAATGAATTATTGTTCTCTTTTTGCAAAGGATTTAAAACCGACGGTAGGAAAAGGACTTATATTATTAAGGCTTTGCAATGAGCTTGTACGTAGGACGTCAAAATCCAACAACAACGGATTTCGCGGAAGGATCATGATGTTCTTGTCTAACACTTACGCCCTCGGAGAGGTTTCAGGTACTCTATTTGTCACTTAAGGCATTAATAGCAATAATAATAATTCTATTTCTCAATCTTTTCGTCAGGTGTAAACAAAGGTGGAGAATGTAATGTGGAGAATATCACAACTTTCAGTGCTTCACCGGATGGTATTAATATAAATTTTGTTTGATCATTGATACTCTTTAGAAGCGATAACCATAACAAGATTTTCACTCAACCAATTTATTATTTAAAGATGAAGACGCCGAATTCTACAATAATTTTTGGCGACTTCAAACCTATTTTAGTAACCCGCTTAAGATGGGGAAGGATTTTAACCTGGAACTCGTTCTAAAGGTATCATGACTTTTACGATGGTTCCGATTGTCTCATTAGATTTCTAACCTTCGCGCATCATAATGAAATTTATTTCCGATTAAAAGAATATTATTTTGGTAGTAGATCGGTTTCAAGAGATAATTGCCCGTGAAAAGATAAAGGAGGCAGAAGAAAATCTTTGTGAAACTGGCGAACGTGACAGTAAAGGTGGTGGAGTTCCTTCCAAAACAAATGGCATCAATCGTGATAAAAAACGACAATCGGTCTCTCAAGACGATGAACCAGAAGAAACATTTAACCTCACGAAAGATTATGTCAAGTATTTCCCAAAGTATTTGACAAGCTACGCTCTCTTCAACAAAGAGGTAGATAACTTTCTGTATTGAAAGCGGTAACGACGTGTGAACTTATTGGATTGGTTAGATGTTAATGGAATTCTTGCGTTCA